TTGCTCGGTGTGGATTTATCCAGCAAATATATTCTCGACTAACTGGCTGCAAGCAGGTCAGGACCCGGTGTGAAGGTTACCCCCAGTTTGAATAGGGTAAAAAAAAATGAACATCAGAATCCTTCAATAAAATACCAAACGCCCCCTCGTCACCTCTAGGTAAGGAGGAACAAATACACTCGAGTCACGTGGCTCACTCTCTCTCTCCAAGGTCACGAGTTATCGCAAATTTGTTTGAGGGCGTATAATCCTTGTTTTTCACCTCGTTTGACCCCCTTTTTGTTTCGCCTTGGATGGAGCGCACGTGCGTGGTGGCAAAGTAAAGAACGCGTTCTTAACTTTCGTTTTCGTTGTGTGTTTTTCAACACTTTTTATTCCGTTGACATCAGGGGGCAAGGAACGAGCAGACAGAAATGGAACTACGACTGTTTCATGACACTTTTTATTTTATGTGGTGTCCGCAGCGGTTGTAGCAAAACTCCGTAGATGACTTTATTTCTAAGGTGCATGACTTTCCGAATTACTGGAAATGAATGAGAAAATTATAGCTAAATGTGCAATTCGACCCTTCTTTTTATGAAACAGAGCTGGCTCGACCCAAGGGATCTGTCTTTCTGGTTTTGTTTTTCAAATCTCACAGTATTATTCATCTATATATACTTTTTTTGTTCTATACTTTTAAGATGCATAATAATGGCCACTTAATAAGCGTGAAACATCTACCATGAAGCCACCTCGTTCCCATGGGCACGATCTGACCGCACCATATTGGTTTTCTCCCGACAGATCTATCTCCATATAGACATAATGGAAATCAGTGGTTTCCACCATGCCTTGCGCGATCTAACCATTAAGTACCAAAGTGTTACGTCACTGTGAACCAGAAAGTGCAGTGCAAACGAATGGAGTACGTGCGCGTGTTGGTTCACGCGCTGGTTCACGCGCTCATGCCTTTTACACACTAATTGTGCGCGTGACGTATTCACTTCGGTACTCTATTGATCTCCATTAACCCTTGACCCTTGATAATTGTATAACTTAAATATCCTACCATTTGGGATATTCAAATTAGGATTTTAGTCAGTGTGTTTACGGGCGACGCAGATTTACGCGTGCGTGACGTGCAGGAGAATACGTGGGTGCGAGCGCGAAGCTTTTGAACTACGCGCGCGACTGACTTTACGTTTATTGACAAGAATATAATATAAAATCAGTGCTCTAGAATCACATATTCCAGAGCACTGATTTGATATTATATTCTTGTCAACATTCTGATCACGGTGCTACGCAGCCCTTCCATATTTCTCTGACTTTAGGTTTATGTATATTCATGGCAAGTTCGATCAAGAACCACAGTTAACCATAGTTCGGCGTCTCTGATCGAACGCACGCTAGTCCACGATGGTTGGACTTTTCGCGACCAGCCTACTGAGGCACAGCAGCACAGTGCAGAGAAGACTAGTTAACAGAAAAATGCCGGGAAAACGGTCTGTCACTTGTGAACGACTATTTTCACTGTAATTTTGGCTATTTTGCCCTTCCTGGGACCACTTTTTCTCCCCTTCGGCCTCACGACCTGACAACGGTTGACTAGGTTCGTTCGCACTTCAACATCACTCCACGTGCGCTAGGTACGTCACGAATCAACCACCAGTTAACTAGCGGTTCTTGGTCGAACTTTTCCCATCCTGAATAGCCAGTCAGCGTTTCGTATTTTACATGACCAGGGGCTAGTGAAGGAACGCGAACGCAGCCCATGAAGTCGAGGTTGACCATGACGGTGCTCAAGGCGCTGTTATGATACCTGCAGATTGGGCTCACAACCTCTGAACATTCCTTTGTCTCACAGATTTAGGGATCAGGACCTCAACTTAATAATCAACATTATTATCATCGGCATGATGGACGCGGTCATGTGCTGTCAACTATCGCAAAGAGTGAAAAAAGCATGTCAAATATTTGATGTCGCGTGGGCCAACCTTCAATGTTGGCGCAGCGCGCGTCAACAATGGGCGAGTTGAAAGCCAGGCTGCGCGCAGGTGTTAACAAAGCTCGGCACAGAAGCGAATCACCTTGAATTTCGGTGATTGTTTTGGGAGCGCGCGGGACACACCCTAGCCCTTTGTGTCGAGATGTTTGGGCTAGGAGTTTCTGACACCTGGAAGGCATCTCCGGCACGTACGGCCCCCAAAAGTCAAGGGCCTCCATGAACCGCCTCTGTACGCCCACTCGTCACGCGACAAAATTGGGCTTGTGTTTGCTTTGGATATTGCTGATGCACCCCACAAAATTCTGCAGTTTCCCTAGCCCCTCATGAACGCAGGTACACGTAGGGTGCAGTCCACTAATTCAAGTGGGAATTTCCGTCCAGTTCATTAGCATTAAATGTGCCCCCCACAGTATCTTTTGAAAAGGAGATTGTTTGGCCCCCAAAACTCCCTAGGTCTTTGAGCTTTTACATGAGAGCAGAATGGCTAAGCTACGGTTGAAAAATGGTCCAAAGTGCCCAAGAAAGTTGAGGGTTGCCACAAAATGGCTGCAATCGGACTTCGGAAAAATCACTTTTCGGGGGTGATTTTGTTTTGTGAGAAAGTTAAAAGTGTCATCGGTTAACCCACAAAAAATTGAAAAGTGAAAGATTGGGGACCAAACAATAATTTCATTTGTGTTTTAGAAATCTCAGAGATGTTGGTATGCTTGTTATTGGCCCCTGAACAGTGCTGATTTTACACTGTTTTTAATGGGGTTTGAATTAGTGGATTGTACCCGTAGGTATAAATCTGGGCACGGGTACGGTGTCCGCTGTGGTCGGCGGTAAACCCGGGTAAAATGGCCGCCGGTGGCTTCACTTGGTGAGTCTTCATGTCCTTGGGCAAAACATTAATATTGGACTCTGTACAGCCGATTCACAATCCGATTCGTAAGTATGACGTCACTTCAGTTTAAGCCACGCCCACTGCACATGCACTACACATACTTTACATGCAAAGAAATATGGAAGGGCTGCGTAGCACCGTGATCAGGATATTGACAAGAATATAACATCAAATCAGTGTTCTTTGGCAATCACATATTCCAGAGCACTGATTTTATATTATATTATTGTCAAAGTACTTTACATGCATTGGTCGCCGTTTACATGGAACCATGGAACCAGAAGTTAACGTGCACTACTTCGGTGATAGTTCAGTGGGGGCCTGCAAATCGTGGCGTGTCCGACTTTGTGACGAAATCACTTTCGAACCAGACGGTGCGCCTCCAAGAGTTTGCAACGCCTTGGCCAATCACAATGTGCGAAATCTGTCAACCCTTTCCAAACGCGCATTGGGTAGGCAGATTTTGCGCATCGTGACGCGTGATTGGCCAACGCGTTGCAAACTCTTGGAGGCGCACTTTTGTGAAAGGCATAGACCACCAGTCTTGTGCGTGTAACCGTGATTTTGAAAAGTATGGGCAAACAATGGGCGGAACGGTGGATGACAGCGCGTTCAGTGCGTATCACGCGCAACGCACTTGCATTGCCTGTATTTGTTTACATGTGCTTCCAAAATAAGTTCGCTGTTTTTGCTCTTTGGTATTGATATCTCTTGTTTTCAAATGTTGCAAACGCACCGTTTTGAATCTACATGGGCCAGATTAAGTAGCCTAAACAGAGGATTTTTTCAAAATCGAAAAGCGGCTTCATGGATGGGATTCTTTGACTGGGATTCTTCAACTGTGGGTAAATTCCCCATACATGTACTGAGGGGTGAATGTTCCCACAGTTTTGATTTTAATCGGGCGCCGCGCAGATCACGAAAACCCTTGCAGTTTTGAATAGGATCAGCTGGTGGTCTATGACCTAGCGCTGCTCACTTTTCTGAATGCTCGTCGCATACGTTCTCGAATCGTGAACAGGACGGCCAATCAGTCCTGTCAATTTGCGCGAACTACCGAATGCGAACATACGACTCGTTTCTTCCTGTCTGCTGCCCTCAACAGGTCATACACAGAACAGACATGGCACTCCAAATAATCGTAAATACCAGTCCGGGTGGAGACCTTTCGTAGTTAAATTTAAGTCATCCTGGATAATTCTTAACTTGACCATAACCGATGTGATGACCTGCTGCGATCTCCCATCCTGGGAAATTCGTTATTGGAAATGTAGCCTACGAATCGGGCCAATACTTATATCCTGTTATAGGCCAAGCTTATGTTTTTCTTGTATTTGTTGCCATTTTTATGGAGACCCTCTCGACAGTGATTGAGTTCGCTTTCAGGCTATCCGTCAGGGGTGTCAGCAAATATTGTTCCTATATGTTGATATGAATCGGTTTTTGTATTTTGTGTTGGTTTTGGTACCCTGAGAAATAATAAATGAATGAATGAAAATGTGACATTGTCCTCGGAAAATAGAGTAGAAAAAATTTCAAAGGACTTCATTTTTTTACGTTTGTTTTAAAATTTCTCTTTTACCAAAGACAACGAAACACAGTCAACTTTGATTTCCAATACATATATTTAGGTTGTTTGCTCGCCAATAATTGTGCCCCAGTAGCCTACTCGTCTCCTTGTTACGGAGTGAAATTTCGTTGAAAAGACATCCAACTTGTTTACCAAATAAAATGACTCTCCGTTATAAACCCCGATGCACCTCTTTTCTCCCCAAAGTTATACACAATAACCTTTGTATGCAAATGGTCCCGTTTTTGCTGTGACTGCACTTTCTTCAGTGCATGGTCCCTGATCTTAGGGACAAAGGCCTCACACACCAGTTTTTCTTTTGTGATAAAAATACGTCGCACAAAACTCTCAAAACGGAACAGTGATTATAAAGACTGGAGAGCTCTGAACGGATTACTTAAATACCGCCCTCTATTGATTGGTAAGAGGGATTTTTTTAAGACCGCCATTTTCAGAAACAACAAGTTGTAACTTGTTTCGCTTTCAACCAGTGGCTCTATGCCCAGACAACAACAGTTTGGCAGTGGTTTGTCTGTTGATATTTGTTGCTATTCACACACCACATGAACAGCAATGATGAACTTTCTACCGAGAAGGAAATCCTCAAACAGCTTGTCTTTACGTGGAGAAAAAGGGGTTGGTTTAGGTCTAGGCCTATGTGTAAAATAATTTGTAATCATGTCGCAACAACAAACATGAATAACTTTAGCATGGTTAGGCTACTATCTAGACAACTTCCTAGAGCCCTGATATGCCTTATCGCAAATACTGCATGGGTTACTTTGCACAATGTTAGAAAGGCATTGTGGGAAGGAAAAAGGGGTAATGTTTTCTCAGGATCTCTTTCCTTCCCACAATGCCTTTCTAGAGTTGGATAGAGTTAGTCGGCCCTAACTCTATTATCGTAGTCTCGGAAAGTTTGAATTTTGCAGTGCCAGTGAGTTTCCATTCACCCAGGCCATGCCAATGGCCTGAGGCAGTCATGGTAGTGGAGCGTTATTCCTCTTTTTTGAATTTTGGACTGGATCGGTCATCCTAATGCTTCATGACATTACATATAGTAAAGTGACAATGGTTCTCAAAATTCCAAAGACTCAACAAAATACTTTTTTCATTGCCTACTGGCTTTCTTAAATGCCAAAGGCACATTTTTGGTTTTCGTCGATATTTCCAACTTCAAAATCTGTAAAAATCTGACCGTTTTTGCTCGACGCACGCATGACACTTCAACTTTTCCACGCTTCCTCCCATTGAAATACACAGGCCTAGATTTTGCTGCCACAGTAACTCTACGGAGGAATACGATCCTCTAACAAAACACGCAGGAGTGGCCTATGCAGTCAGCGCATAAGACGTGTTGACGTCACGTTTTGGAGTACTACCAACAAGTATTTCCAGTAGAAACCAGTCCTCGACACTGCGATAATAGAGACTCCTCCTCTGCTCGCAGATTTTCTAAGCTATCGTAGAGAAAAATAAATTTAACCACAAACAAAATTTGTGAATCAAGTTTAAAAGTAAGAGATAAACAATAGCAAGGATAGGATAATTCAGGAAGGTGAACGAGCAATCTTTATTTTGATCGAGAAATATGATAACTGATAATTGTAGGCATGGTTATGAGGAACTCCAGTTCAGGCCTATCATGATGTTGTGTTGACAGAAAATTATGACAGGAGGGCTAATTTGTTCGACCGACTTCAGTATTCTGACATTGCCTGACTATCAGATTGTTGAAATGTGTAAGTTAAAATTGAACTGAACATTAGGACACAATTCGGCCCTGGGTGAAACCAAAAACAAGCTTTCTCCAAGATTCTGTGTTCATTCCTCAGGTTAAGGCTGACTTGCACTTTTGATGAACAAGAAAGTGAAGTGAATTTCACGTCACGAAAAATTTGCAGCAAAATTCGCTTCAGATAACTTTGCTCAACTTTACCGTATTTGTAGCATGAAGGTTTGATCTGACATCACAATTGCACTCGTTTGCTTTAATGAGTATTAATCTATTATGAACCTGCCTTTTCGTCGACCTATTTTTATTGCCATTCTCAGAAGCAACGTGGATTGCGCTTCTCCCTGGAGTCTCCCACCGCGAGCCCAGCAGGTTGCAGCTCAGCCGACGAGGGCATGATTGTGGACAGCGACAACGAGAACGACATGCCGGACACAGGACCGGCTGTCAACAATGTACTCAAAGGTGCAGTAGGCCAGTAAACTCAAATACCGAATGAAGTGGCTCCGTTTCTGTTGCCAGTCTTTGATTTCCAGAGTTGCCAGCAAAACGCAGACGCATCAACTCTTGATGTCATAAGGAATATCGAAATCGGACCAGCAGATCTCACAAAATGAAGCCCTCTTTTTTCAGTTATTCACTTTTGAGGCAGTTTGGTATTTCACATTTGGCAACAAAGCATGCATCCAAGTCTTGGTAGGCCTGCACAGATAGGCAGACCTTGGGTGCAAAAAAAAGAACGGTCACTACTCAGAAGAGCCTCTGCACCTCAGTGTAGTCTTCCATCAAGCAGCTTTTGATGAGTCTGAAGTACACTCTTCCAAAGGAGGTTCAGACTTGTCAGTTTCCTACATACAATTAACAACTTGAAACATAGACTAATGTTCAATTTGGAGTTAAGGAACTTGATGTAGCGCTCCAGTATTTTGCAAAAGTCTCTAAACTATTCTCTTTGCATGGTTCAAACATTTCCAAATTTCACTCTAAATACGTGTAGACCTGCATTTTTTCCATAATCAGATGTTGTAGCGTATGTTGAAGTCAGGACAAAGATGGAGAATCGCTCCAACAGCGTGCGAAAACAGCTGGAGCGTCTAGGAGCTGTGGTGAGTTGGTGCATCTGTCATTCTGCGCGCGGGAAACAGTCGGAAAACGGAAAACTGGCAAACGTTTGCTGGTGGCATTGAAGGATGGCAGGCAGACGACACAATTTTCGGGGGTTGGTGGTACCAGTTTGGAGAGATATTACACTGCGGCATAATCACTTGGCTGTACGCGGTTGAGAACAGCATGTTACTGATTGTGAAATGTCACGACCAAAAAGTTGGAGCCTGTGATGGAACACATCAGTCATCACATCAACCCTAACCCCCGAGGGTGATTTACATGAACCAGCTACCTTCCACATCCTTGCAAAATCTCAACACCATATCGTATACTGTGCACAAAAACAGTCGGACTCCGTCTGCCATAAGCCTAATCCAACATAAAACCAAGGCAGTACTCGTCCTGACGGATTCCAACAAACCCTGGTGTTGGAGTTTGGTTGGTTTGGGATCATTAGTGTTCATCCAAATCTAGGGTTGTAGACCTAGGTTTCTCGTGGGACGCTTGTAGGCCATTTGGGGCACCCTAGTTTTTATCATGTGCAAAAAGCTTATATCTTTCTTTTCACTGCAAGGCAAAATTGGTACTCGATTATCAAGTGCCGCCCAAAGAACAGATCTTGTTCAGATTCGAAATTCAAAAACCTTTTCTCCACACCAGACCTTGGCAACAGTACCGTGGTTCTCGATTTCGTTACTTTTCCTTGGACCAGGTTGTTGATAAGTTCACCAGCGATGAACCCGTCACTCACGTCATTTGGAAGGACGGCAAAAAAAGCACCAAGGATAAAGCCATCAAGCGGGGCGTCCACCTGGTCTCAGTGCTGTGGGTGGATAGGTAGGTGCTGCAGTGTCTGTCTGTCCCAAGTTCCTTCATGAAACCAGCCACGAGCCCTTTCACAAGATCAGTCGTCAGTTATCAGGGTGCACAGCGACATAGGAATGCTTGTTTTGACAAAAGGTTGTAACTTGACTTAAGACTGAATAACCTGTGATGGGTTTCCCTACGGTGCTGAATGCTTACATGCAAGTTATTCTAAACTTTCTGGTCTTCATTGATGTATGCGATTTGGCTTTAGGGCTGCGACGATTATTTAGATACCAGATTAATCGGTCCCTTTACCGGTTATTCGGTTACATGTTTTGGTTCAGTCTTACACTTAGTATACCCCCCTTGCCATTTTGCCGCGAGTATTTGTCACCCGTCATTTCAGCCTGAGGTGGGTAATTTTGATGTTTGACAATTCCTCTCCGGAGCCGTTAATTTTCACCTGTCAAAGTAATTCAGTGTGAAAATTTTGTCAGCAGAAAGCTTTGGCATGGTTGTTACAGTCCGACGAAAGTTGTGGAGTTTGCATGTACACAAGTATATTCGTGTCAATTTTTAGATAACTTTTAATTCTGCAGCCTCGTTGTGGAATAGCGGGTTGTGTTTATGACCAGAATCCAGACCAGTATTCAGTCACTCTTTTGGTTTGGTCTGAGTATGATGTTTGACATCACTAGGTAGACTAACAGCACCAGTGGTTTACAGACGGTAACAGCCAAAACACTTCAACAGCAGCTCTTCGAAAGACCACAGCAATTTTCAAAGTAGCAGCATTTGTAATTGGTGTTCTTTGCTGTATTTTCTGTTATCTTGCCAGTTGTAAGCAAAACAAACAGCGTGCACCGGAATCTCTGTTCCCTGTTACTGATTCCAGTGACGACGGCACGATCGTCATCCCTAAAGCCAAGGTATGTGACCGTGACTCCCGAGGAAATATGTATTGCTAGGAACCCACCAAATCCCTTTGTGGGCGGAAACGCAGTGCCGCAATCTTTATGTCAACTCTGACCCTCCAGGGCACTGTGGCTAGAAACCCTGCCAGACGCATCAGTCTGAATCTTTTGTCCCAGTGGCTTGCCTGCCCAGTGTAACAAGATCCAACAGGTCAATTCTCCTCAAGGCCAAACAGCCTGGGTGTCTGGAGTTGCCAGTCACCAACAAGATCCAACAGTGACATTGTTCAATGGGACTAGCTCTCATTGTCTCAACGTGGCCAGTTTGTTTGGCTGCTGTTGATTGCCAAGTGCATCAAAGTGCATCAAACTTTTATACTCTTGGCACTCCGCTGTGTTTGCTCTGCGAAACAGTAGCTGGGCTTTCCTTTTTCAAAATCCTACAAAATCTTCCCAAAACTTTCCCATAAACCTTCAAAAACACCCAGTGGATTCAAAGGATTAACATTGAAACAAACAAAATCTTCACCGATGTACTCCTGAATGTCTTTACGTGCTTGGCAAGTTTGAAATTAAGCTTGAAGAAGTTGAGATTTTTTTGGGGGGGGGCTGCTGTTATTTGATCTTATTTGATTTAATCCATCCATGCTGTGTCGCCACCGGAGACCACATTTTGAGTTCCAAGTGCAGTTTGCAAGTTTTTCTTCTGTACTGCACGCAGCGAATGAAATCCATGCAGCCCAAGTCGTTTGAGGAGGATTTGGAGAGCAGCACGGAGCGAATGGTGAGGAAAAGGAAGAAGAAAGAGACAGGCCAATCCTCCAGACTGTTCATCAATTCACCGGGTAAATCCACCATAAGCAGGGATCCAATCGTCCATCGCCACCAAGCTGGGAATACTTCCAAAACTTTGCCTACAATCCAGAGCAGTTGTCAAGATATTTTACGGAGTTTAAGCTGCCTAGAAAAGTGACTACAAAACTGTGCATATTCCTTTGGCCATGAAAATCAATACAATACGTTTCTGTAAATGAACTTACCATTTCTGGCAACAAAAGTCCAAAAGTCTTTTCCATAGTACGCAGGCACCCTGAGTTTAAAGCAGGCGCACGTCAGTGTGATGCTATAGAGGGTTTGTATGGCTGCCATCTTGAAGGCCAGTGCTTTTGTACCATTGGGTAACACGAAGGAAGCTTCCCTGTGGAACAAAAGGAGTGCCCTGCAAGATGGCTCCCACACAAAGCCTCTGTTGCAGATATGACATCTTTTCAGATTAGTCCATTTGCATAAATTGGTATTCATACCTGTGCTAGGTATGGACCAGTCTCAACGCTTGACGTTAATAACATTGTCTTTTACATGTATATTGATACCCAGGTGCATCCGTGAAGCCGTTTGTTTATGCGGCCGAAACACAGGACGCTTTCACTCCAGTAAGTGACAAAGGTGTGATTTCTTGGAATTTTGCTGGATTGTAGGATTTGGACCCCAAAATTCAGGATTATCTTGTTAGACGACTCAAAGTTTGCTACTTTTTCCTCTTTGTAATTAAAAAGACACTTTTAAGAGGGGACTTAATTACTAATGTGATGAAGTTTTAGCTTTCTAAATACCGTACATTGTGAGAAAATGCTCAGTTGTGTCAGGTCTTATGACTTGATGTGAAAATTTTTGGGTCACGTTTCTGCTGTGCCCAGTTAACTGCAAATTACAGCACAAGCCATCGTTTTGCATTAAATAAAATGTCTACGACTTTTGGACATCTCAGGTTGAGGGCACCTGCAAAACGTGTCTCCCTGGGTTCATTCTCCTCTACTTTGCCAACTCGTCCTTACAAAATATCTGCCGGAAATGTTTCAAGCCATATTTCATGTGATTTTTTATTTATTTCTGTTTTCAAAATGCTTTCAAAATTCATAACTTCATTTACTAGATGTTTACACCCACACAAATGACTGTCTGGTGGCTACTCTAATCTGACAGACAACATCCATTGATGCCCAAGTAACTCAGCCAGGCTTGCTGCCTTGTAAAAAGAGCCCAGATTGTGCAGTGTTATGTAACTTTCTTTTGTTCCCAAAACTGGCACAGCGCGCTACTGGCATCTTTTCAATAGGGGCCAGATTAGCGTGCAGCAGTATTGTATCGCTCATCGCTGGAGCGCTTTTGTCCCCGGTGGTAATCTGCTCGTGCTGAATGCCACAAACAGTGGTATAATCTTTCAAAATAAGGACAGATTTCTTCCGTTATTAACAACTTAAAAATTGTTGGCAATTCCCAGCAGCTTGGTCTTTTGTTTCGAGTACGGTCTTTTGTTAGAAGGCCCACAGCTGTTTTGTCTTGTTTCAGGCTCCCCGGTTTCCTGTGTAAAGCCTATGTGCCGGAAACCAGGCTCCCTGGCAGCATATGGTTAAGCTATCAGCTGTCCCCGTGAGTGCAGATGGCCCGATCATTGTTCACATATCCTCCAATAAAGCATTTATTATTCCTTTCGTCAGGTGGGAACACCTGTCCCAGGTGTCGGTGGCACGCCGTCTCTGATCCCAGACACGCCCGCCAGTATGCGCGCCTGCCTCAATGCGCTTGGCAGAGTCCGGAATAGCGCCAACACGCCAATATCTGGTAAGCCATTCCAAGGTTTGACATTATCATTAATTTACGTAACTGTTGGTATTTTGTAAGCACCCTTGAGCATTAACAACGGGATGTTCTCGTTGCCAGTGTTGGGCTCAAAAGTCTTTGCAGACAGGTCTCTGTTGATAAAAGTTGAGAGTGAGCAGTGTACGACAGTTGGAAATGTTTGTTCGAAAACGGTTACCCGAAAATATCTCTTCAGGCTCAAAATCTGTTTTGTGAATATTTGTGGGCTGCTATGTTACTGCTTTTAGATCCTTTTAGCACAGAGATGATCAGCCATTTCATAAAAACTTTGGACTTTCATTCTCAAAAGGGCAAGGCAGCATCCCTAAGGGCTGTGCCGAATATCCCAATCACCGAATATTCGAGCGATTGTCAAATATTCAAATATTATTTTTTTAATTTGAATATTCGAATGCAAAATTCATGAAAAGGAAGGGAAAATTTTCTCTTGTTTTAAATGAGAAAAATTGCACTATGGAGGCTTGTTTCAAGCAAATTCAAATGAAAAGTGTCAGAAATCTTACAACAATTTAAAAAGTAAATATTATTCAATAAACAATTTAAAAAGGAATAGAAATTTTCAACAGGGCCAGAAGTCTTGTTCATCTCTTAAATCTTGCAAAACCGTGGCTGGAGATACTCCTAGATGTGGGAAGCTATTATATTGATCACAATGTATAATCGTGTGTGGTATTGCAACTGATTTTGTATGTAGTTTGTTCATCAACAATCTGCTCGGCGGTGCGACTGAATATTCAGATATTCAATCAAATTGAAGATCAAATATTCGAATAGTGAATTATTCGAATTGACTCAGCCCCAGAGTCCTTTGGTCAAGGCAACTCCCATCAGGATACAGTAACTCTCTAAGGGGATGTTTTGTGTGAGTTGCTGTGTCGTCGTGGGAGCGTTTATTTTTAACGTGTAGAATTACTACAAACAACGGGCGCCCAACTTTTCCTCAGATCAGCTGATTAATACTTTGTGTCTTCAGTTCCCATCTGGTGCTGCTTCAATCCTTTTTTCCCCCTGAATCTCCAAGAGCGCCCTTCAAGCAGTACTTCACACTTTTCTGTCTGCGTCATAGGTTCAGAGAAACCAGCGATCGGAGAATCACCAACCTTTGGGGCCAAGCCCGACATCCTCCAGAAGAAGTTGAGTTTTGGTCCGTCCATCAACGCCGACTCCATAACAGACGGCAACCAAGACAAGACAATGGATCCTAATACTAGGCTGAAGAAAGGTCAGATGTCAGAAGTCATGTCCAGTTCGGCACAGATCCATTCAGCTTTTGACGCAGAAATGCTTGATGTCTGTTCACAACTTCCACATAGGGAACTATCAGAAATTTAAGTCTACGGCAGATATCAACAGGTTCCACTGGTCACTGGTTTTATGATATAAGCACTGTACCTCATCAATGCTTTCTACAGGCCTGTGAAAAATAATGTTCATTGAAAAAACTCTCTAGCAAGCAGGAGGCTTCAGGTTCAAGTGCCACCCAAGTAAGCTTAGATATTGCTTGCTGACATGTTGTTTGACAGCACTGAATATTTAGTGCACACACAAATCTGTGATGGACAGAACCCAATATATCAATCCACAAGGTTTACCCAGGTGGGATTTGAAGTTTCATTACATGTCATTTGAATTAGCCAGCCCACTGTCGCAAGCTTTGTACCAGTAAACTGAAGGTGAAGCGGGAATCCCTCCTCAGTTCATTTCCAGTTTCTTACAACGTCAAAATGTTATATGGGCAAGAGGGAAGGATTGTGGATTAAAAATTCATTTGCCAATCAGAGAAAAACTAGATGTAATTGTCAGTAAAGCAGGTTTTGACAAAATCATGTTGTGGTCCAAGCTGCTGTTAGTTGAGTTGTGTTTGTCAATGCTTGCAGGTCGAAGGTCAGAGGTAGGTCAGGGGTCAGCCAAGCAGGAGTCTTCCAAAGTGCGGAGGTTGTCTCTAAGGATTGAGAAAACGTTGAGTGAGCAAGAAACCGACGAAGACCTTTGTCAGTCCAACGGCACAGATAAGTCGACTGAAGTTCCCCAGCATAGTTCGGTCCAGAAATGCATTTTTCCTGTTGTGCCGAAAATCAGTTCAGACTCAAGGAAGCCGCTAGAAGACAAGTCAAAAACCCAAGCCAACAAAAACTTGTTTTGTGAAACAAACGCAGGGTCTCACAGCGAGCTGCCAACTAATGGACGACGAAAACGTAAGCTCCTGTCGACAAACACGGACACCATTCCAGGTGAAGTTCTGACCCAACCGACCGAATCGAGCACGAAAGAAAAACAGCAGAAAGACGCCAGACTGTCCGGCAAATCATCAAGAAATCTGAGCGATAAATTTGAAAAGGCGAAAGACGGAAGGCAGAAAACTCTGTGTAGTAGTAGTAATGACGGGTGTCTACAGCAAGTTGAGTCGCCAGATCCCGATGGCAAACCTGGCAGTAAACCTGGCAGCAAACCTGGCAGCAAACCTGGCAGTAAACCTCCCAGGGGAGGGAAAACCTCAAGGAAGAGGAAGAAGGAAGAATTATTATCGGAGTCTTCCGAAGAGGAGTCGAGCAGAATGATGAAGAGAAGAAAAGGTAAGAGATTGCTGGTGTGAATGCAGGACTTGCCTAAAATAAATCAGAGCTGCTAAGGGGTCAAATCGAAATATTTCAACTTCAGATAATGATCTGATTTTCAGTAGTTTTTATGACGCTAAAAAGTCACTCGCTCGCATACTTGAGAAAACGATGGCACCATGGTGTTTGAGTTTCGTGGCTTCTGACTATTACCCCTCAAACGGAGATATTGACAAATGGGAAGAACGACAACGCTGGGCTCCAAAGCTCAGTTGATAGAGTGCCCATCCCCTTTTCTAGATGGAGGTTCAAATCATGCCCCAGTCACTTTCCTTGTTCTCTGTTGCTTGCGTGTGAGGACCTGTTCAGTTCACTTTCACTTGCAAAATAAGTTAAGAAAATGTAACCTATGTAAAAAGGTATTTTGTAATGTTGGCATTCACGGATTGCACCCAAGGGATTGTGATTAATGGTGTTAAAATCTATTTCTTGCAATTTGCCAATTCCAGTATTTATTTTTTTAGAAATATATCTCGTTGGTTTCTAACGTTACTGCGCAACTGAGTTTTTTTTTTTTTCTTTCCCCGAAAACAGGAGACAGTGAAGAAGTCTCCAATTCACTTGTGGCATCTCATCGAAAAGGAGGGGACAACGCACAATCAAGCCGGAAAAGTCTGGACAATTTCACCCAAAATAAATGCCTGAAACAAGTCAAGGCAACGCAAAAAGCCAACAAGAACAGGTCGGCATCTTTGTCAACTCTTAATCTGGACCCCACCAAGAAGGCGAAAGACGACAGCCCCAAAAAGCCTAAGCTCGCCAACAAAAAGGGTGCGAGGTCACTCTCGTTGACCGGCGAGTCCACCACAGGAAGGGATCAGAGGTTTGGTAAAACCAACTCAGAACCAAAGCCTCGCAAGGAATCAAGAAATGGCTCAGAACTGCAAGACGACAGTTCTGATAGCTCGTCATCAAGTTCTCCCAAGATCGAGAAGCCTGTTCGGCAAGACAGAGTCATCAAAATCAAGAAGTCCACAAAGAAACTGAAGGTATTGATGACAACTTTCAATACAAGGAAACCAAGTTTTCTCTGTCATGTTTGTCACGTCCTATTTTGCAGCCTCTCTGTAATCACAATTAAAAATTGTAACACCTGTCATTGTGTTGCTTTTGTATCGTGTGAATGGTGTTATAAATATTTATGGTCTATAACATCCCAAAATATTTCTGTGAAACTTTGACGTGCTCGTAAATATTCAACCGCATATCACCCCTTCTGCATCCAGGAAAAAAGGTGGAACTGTTTTCTTTCTTTTTTCGTCTTCTTCATCAGGACAGCAAACCATCTCTTGTCATGACGAGTGTCCACGCAGGGTAAAGTACCTTGGTTTTAACAAAATTGGGTTTCTCATTGCCTGGGCACCAGTGACTTTACCTCGGCGTCATGCGTATTTGACGAATCTCGAGGTGAGATTGTGTCGAACAGAGACGTTTTCTCTCTCTCGGACCTTTTGCTTGGGGGTGGCATTACTCATTGCATTGGTGCACTTCTGCATTGCTGCACTGTGTTCCACAGCCAGGCGCATTGTAAGCTTGATCATATCCTTGATGAGTTAAACCGTCAAGGGGTAGGACTTACTGCATCGGTCTGTTCGGTGGCATTGCTGACATCGGCATAACGACAGGAAACACTAACTGCATTGTCAAGCAATGGCCAATTTTGCTGCATTCACTCAGCAGACGAAATCCTTTCCATCTGCTTAAATTTAGTGCACTCTAGTGTGTTCGGTCAAAAAATAAATCAGCCTCGTGTAATTCCTTTGCCATGTAGAGACCAAGACCTCATTGCCGCGGTCGTCAAAAGGCTGAGAGGTTTTGCCGTAGAAGACACAGTCTCCAAGGTGACCACCCACGTCGTCTGTGGCGAGAGCCGACGGACGTTGAACTTGCTGCGGGGCATCGCTAGTGGCTGCTGGCTGCTTTCCACGGAGTGGGTGGGTTTACAAAACCAAGGGTGGTTTCTCTTAACAGGTTTCATCAAAAGTAGGTATGCGTTGGTGCGGTACCCTGCGCCCATTCATTTCTGACTGACTAGTCGACCCCTGCAAGCTCGATGGTGGAGCGATAAGACGTTGGCACAGTTAAGCAGGAGGTTGTTGGTTCAAATGGCGACCAAGTAGGCTTGTGAATTTCTACATCAGTGAAGGGCCAAACACCCAATATATTGAGTTACAAGTCATAGCAACCACTTTGAACTTAAAGGAACCAGGAAATAGAAATATTTTTATAAATTTTACTAAAACTCTTGAAATTGCATCTTTGGGTTTCAATTAACCTGATTTTAAAGTTTTGTTTTGCAATTTTAACCCATAATTTGATGGTTTTTTTTTAGTTTTTATGCTAATGCCTATTTGCATATTCATGAGCAGACCTATGATGTCATCCAAGGCACTGAATCTCAATGTTGCACTGATTTGTGCACAGAAAATTTTAAGATTTTTTTAACCACTGCCATGGCAGATTTTATGTCTTTCCCTCAGGACATTGAAGTCAGTCACAAAGATGCCTTGGTTCCTTTTGTAATCCGTTTAATTTATTTTGCTTTGCAGGTCTTGAAGTCACTAGAAGCCGAAAAATGGCTACCAGAGGAGCCCTATGAAATCCAGGGTGCTTTTCCTGCAGCAAAGGTCAGGGGTCATTGATAGACTCAAAGGTCACGTTACAAAGGCCAAATTAAACTTGATGTGAAGTTCAGTGGATTTCAAGAAACATTGAAATTTGCATGACTTGAATGTACAATTGTGATACCAGACCAATTTCTGTGCTTAATTAAAAGTGATACTGAAAAGCATTTATGGATCTTTTTACTCAAACATCAGAAATAATTCATTTGTAGCCACTGGCGAGGAAAATACACTGTAGGTTGATCTTTCCCACAATGCATTGGGTAAAGTGGTCGCACTGCGTCAACCCCCTTTGAGGCACCCTGTATTGTGGATCACCCATATTTTCCCTATTCTGAAATATAATCTTTCAGATGGCAAGACTGGAGCGATCCAAGGCCGGCAAGTCCTACCAGCAAGATCTCCTCTCGTCCCTCGGGCCCATCTTTGTCCATGAGGGCACCAGCCCACCCAAAACTAGCCTCGCGGAGCTCGTCCACCTCTGCGGCGGGCGGACGTGCAGCTGCGCCGGCCAGGCTAGTCTGTGCATCGGTGGAGGCCGGAACCAGACCGGGGCACCAGCCGTCTCAGAGAAGTGGCTCCTAGGTGGGTATGAGGATCTGACTGAGGGAGTGTCTCAAAAAAAAAAGAAGTCAGAATGCTGAAGAAAGTCCCAACAAGAGCAACCCTTGTTAGTCTTGTTGGGAGTCAGGTTGGCGTCTAGCGGTTCTTTCCTCGCCTTCTACCTCTGCTGTCCGGGTTTGAATCCCGGCCCAATCCACATATGAATTGAGTTTTCAGTCCCTACCTGATTTTGCGGTTCCTCCCATGACTAAAACTATAACCACTTCTCTACGGGTTTCTTCAGACTTGTGAGCTACAATGCCCTGGGCATTTGTGAGGCCCAGCATCATCAACATTGATAACTAACCCCGGCACAAAGTGGTTAATAATAACAACCCTTGCTCCAATCAGGAACACTTGGCTTTTCCTACTGAGAATGATGTACGCTCCCAAAAGACCTTTAGCGTGATGACGTCATGCTTTGTTTACGAATGTCGCCTTCCTGTGGCAGTAAGGCGGGATGCGATCCACCAAGTCTCCATAGCGCACTTGTAAACAAAGTGTGACGTCATCATGTTTTAGGTCTATTGAGAACAGCGGACAATGTGCGTGCATGGTCACTTAGGCAGATCTTGTTCCCAATGGGAAGACAGCCAATTCCCGCAGGGAATGCATAGTGTTCTGACTGAGAAGCATTCCTCACCAGTGTTGTAGTTGAAAACTTGATTACAATTTTGTAGTTGAGTCCTCCATTTCCAAGTCCCGAGTCCTGCTGATTCCAGTCAAAGGCCATCACAGAATACCGAACGAAATACTGAATTTTTCGGGATTCTCCTGCATACAGCCAAACCTCGGAAGAGCAGTGTTAATACAGGACTCTGCTCATAGCATGGAAATTTGAAGGTCCCAATCCTCTGTTCTTCATTGTTTTCATTCCTGGTAATACACGGTTCGTGTTATAACAAGGTAATCTGCAAAGTCCAAAGGATCACTCATTTCCAAGGTTTAACTGTACGCTGTACCGCGTATGTTCCATTTCAAAGCTAGAACTGTTTCCCTTTGTTTACTTCTGTTTGTTCCCTTTGTTATTCTTTTGTTTTTAGATTGCATTTCTCAACATGAAGTACTTCCCGTGGACAGTTACTTGCTCTGATGGATTCCAACTTCAGTTCAACTTCAGCTCTATGACTGGACCTGGTTTTCCCAAGGATTCCCGGCCCCGCTGTACAGAGACGCGAGAAAACGGTTGATCAAAATCGGATACTGCAGAGGCATTGAGCATAACATCACCACCTTGTTAGTTAATTAAATCGGTAGCCGATCCTCAACTAAGTGGTTCAAAGCCAGGCCTCTGGTCCCAGAGAATCGAGCATGATATCAAACGATAAAAGCTATTTGGTAGATGCCCAAGAACTATTAAAATGGGGAACTGGCTCGGAATGCGACAACTCTTAGCTGCAATTATATGCCGGACTGTGCAGGAAAAGCATTTCTATGTACCTTAGCATTAGATAAAGAAACATCTTGAAGGTTTCACAGTTATGCAATAGAAAGAATGATTTCATTGGATTGCAGATTAAATTTTCAAATCCACTTGGCTTCATCTCGTGGTAGAGGACATTGTATACACATGGGTGGAGATCCCTAGGGTAAGGGGGGATTCACCCCCTCCCCCCCACTTTTTGACGTTGGTGGAAACATTGCCCCACTTTTCAAGCCGCTGACTATGCGAACCCGTAACCTGCACCACCGACTCTGCTCTTGCTGGCGTCTCGATCTGACCCAGACGGAGGCTGCCATGTCATTCCCCCATCGTGACAAAAAATCTCCGCCCACGTCTGTATGTCATCACTTCAAGAAGTTATTCTCTCTATTGCTTTTCCGAAACATTATTTGCGTGATACATAATCGTACCCAGATTTCTTGATTGGGACTTGGGTCTTGCAGGTGATTTCACAGTATTATCGCTTCGTCCTTTTGTAGATGCTCACTTGCTCTTTCATGAGATAATGTCTAACTGGTGATGGAATACACCTGTTGTACTGTATGTATCGACAGTCCTGCATTTAAACTTAAAATGGTAAGGGACAACATTACAAACATGTTACAAGTGATTTGGAGTTTTGGAAAAATGAGGGGTGCAGATTCATAGGTTTGTGGATCTAGGAATCTTCACCTAGGAGTTGTATACAATGTGACCAGTCGCCCACAATACGGGCGTTTCACAGTAGTGTGCCTCCAAGAGTTTGCAACGCGTTGGCCAATCACAGTGTGCCAAATCTGTTGTTGACCCAGTGCACGGTTGGAAATAGCCGAGAAATTTGGTGTGTTGTGATTGGCCAATGCGTTGCAAACTCTTGGAGGCGCACTATTGTGAATCGCCCGTATTGACGTGTAAAGTAGTTTAATAGGACAACCAGAATTAGAAGCCATTCACTGCAGTGACACACCACTCATTGACAGGTAGTACGCGTGTGTTACATGACTCTGGGACCAATAGGGTGTTGTGATTTGCCAAATGCAGGCGCGCATTAAGCTGAAGAATGTGCGCATGAGTGCGGTGCCACTGCAGTAGCTTTGTCTACAAGCAGGGGCGTAGCCAAGGCATCTTCTTTTGGGGGGGGCGTGCCAGAGTCAATTTGCCAAAAACATATAACTTGTTCACCAACCTTGCGTGAACCGTGGCACGCTACATTTTATGCTTCAGGGGAAATGCCAATGGCCAATGTATATCGTTTACTTATACTTATTTTTATTCATTTGCCAACCGAAGCTCTGCATGACTGGAATTAATTATTGAGGGGGGGGTGCCACTCCCTCCCCGGTTGCTATGCCCCTGTCTTCAAGCCAATTTGATGTTTGCTTGTATGTCCCTTGAACATGTCGCAAAAGTCCAAAATGTTTGGGTTCCATGAGACCTTTTCCACTTGGAACGTTCGCATTTCAGCAGGAACGGTCTGCTTTGTGCCCAGAATACTGAGGCAGTGTTTCCAATGGAGCAGCTGTCTACTCCTTGATGAGATCACTGCATTCCGCATGGAACATTCCAACCATTCCAAATTGTGAGATGCTCCCCTGGTTACCTCATTGCCATGCTGAAAAGACTGCTGTTGCGCCCGTATCTGGCATAACCCATGACGTGTTTTAATTGTTGTGTGCATGTACAGTTAAATGACCGCACTGTGCATATCAAAGCAATTAATTTCAAAAGCACACAGAGTAATAAATTGTTTCCTTGAATTTATCATATATGAATTTTGAATTTATAATTTTTAACGATTAGGAATGTAGAAGTTCAGCCAGCTTTGTGTTAAAAATAAAATTAATGGTGCACAGCTGAAGATGCACTAATATTTTGTAGCAAACTGAAGGCTATCTTTTTTACAGCAATATTTTGTCTAATTTCTTCTGTAATTGAAACAAACTTGAACTCTCTGAATTTCTGTTCCTTATAAAGGGCAGCTGCAATGAAGGCTCTCAGAGACAACATTTCTGCAACTGTGTACTTTTCATTGTATAAACACTCTTTTACGTTCCCATTTGGTTAAATGCTCTGAAAGGTGCACTTTTTTTTGAAACACTCAAAATTATCCATGCTTTCCTGGACAACTGTTGGCGCTGTTGCTGTGATGTCATCCAGGGAAGAATATAAGTGAATACGTCACGCGCACAATTAGTGTGTAAAAGGCATTAGCGCGAGAACCATGCTCGTGAACCAACACGTGCGCGTCCTCCATTCGTTTGCACTGCACTTTCTGGTTCACTGTGACGTCACACTTCGTTACCCAATAGTTCATTATATTGGTTTTTCTACTGAAAGTATTTCTGAGAAAAACATTGGTGCTCACTCATTGCTATGCGCATGAAACAGCAATAAATCAGCAAAAAAGAAAAATTTAATCCAGCGAAATTCATATAAAAAATACACGACCCTTTTTTGTGTACAAACCAGTGTAACATTTAGGCTTCTTCCCGGGTTGGTATCACAGTTTTACTCGTGGATATGGAATGAATATGGAAATACTTATAAGCACCAAAACCAAAAAGGCCGCAAAATACCCTTTGAAAGAGTAAAACAAAAGCTGAATGCAAGGTTAACTGAGCAACAAAGGTGCATTTCGAAGGCTTGCATTAACACAAATCGATTGTACAAAGATTTAAAAATAAATTTGTATTCATTAACACAAAAATAAGTTTCAATGATCACACGAAGTCTGTTGCATGAATGAAATCCCCCTTTCTCCCGTTGGGAAGAGAAAAGGATGATTGACCAAAGATCTCGTCTGTACGATTTCCCTACAAAACTTGCTTGAGCCCAAAGTTGAAAAGGATTGGAGTTACGCAACCTTGGTTTTGATGGGCGTGCAAAAGAAATTATAAGTTCAGACTAGGACAGAGACTATATTTAATCCTTGTATTGTTCTGGGTTGTGTTCAGATTGATAGAAATCACTCCGATCTTTCCTTGGGCAGATGGACAGGTGCTTCAAAAATTTAACAATGGTTTTGTAGTCTTAGACCACTTGCAGCCTGCGGTTCCATAGGAAAAACAGATTTTCTTGGCGAATGTTTGAGCTCACTCCAGTCGATTGCCGAATACATAGCCAGAGTAGCTCAATGTATGGAGGAAAACTTTCGATGGAAGAGTTGAGAAAAAAGTACAGTACAGTGTACTTCACAAAAGTTTGAGTTCATACTTCAAACTTTATTTTCCACCTGTGGACATCACACTTCTGGCAAATTATGATTTGACAGATTTATAATTTGATTTATATTCCCACAGATCGGGGTTTTCCACATCTGATGATAAGTTGTATGTTCCTTCCTCCCTGGTTGAAGGTGGCAAATTTTAAGTCGAACAAAAGTAATGCAGATATCCCTCCTGCACCTTTATTTGTACAGGTTTCTGAAAGAAGCCCCCCCCCGATCGAAATGAAACGGGTCCACGTCTACAAGGCCAAATTAATTGTGATGACGTCAAGAACGAATAAGATACTGATAACAGGCCAGTCAACACAGGACGGGTCTCGTATGCAGTGACACTTGTTATGTAGCCAGGTACAGGTCAAAGTGTCACACTCTTCTCATGGGATTTTCACCTTCTTCCCAGTAACCAGTCATTCCAGGGTCGTTTTTTAGAGTTGGCGGGGTATTCTGCAATTACTGACACTGACAGAGCCTCCCGAGACACACCCTTTTTCAGCTGAACTGCCGAATTTCTTGAAGCTTTCTCTCGATCAAGATGACAGCTCTGCAGCTGCTCTCTGCTTGCGCACCGTACATTCTACGTGTCGTGGGCCTGACTGTCGCCGTCATCTTCGGCACCTGTCTCGTGTTCGTGGTCGCATGGACGGTGTATATGTACAGAGTTTACAACAAATATCGGCATCTGCCGGGCCCGAAGGTGGCTCAGTAAGCTTTTCGTTCAGGCAGCTTTATCAAAAGATAGATCAGTGACCATTGTTGCTTGGCTTGCATTAGGCCTAGGCCTACATATTTATTATGATCTCAGTCATGACACTTCACTTACTGACTAGACTTTAACATCAGCTGCTTCCATTTATTTTTGTCTATAGCTTCTACAGCGGCCATGTCATGAATGTTGCCGAAGGTGTCCGCTCTGGAAAGCTCATATTTGGAGATCTTCTTGTGCAGTGGTAACTTTATAGTGGCTTATTGCTTTGAGTATGACCGTTTTTCTGGAGCCAAGATGGATACTTTACACAATATGTTGCTAGATTTTATGCCCAGATAGATCCTTTTGAACATATATGGAAAAATGGAACAAAGATACATGTGTTTATACTTTCTACTTAAGGGTTGATGGGCAAAAGTGATAGGCTATGGCTGAACCCATCATGAAGCAGTCCAATTATTGATAGATTTGGCATATACTGCACTGTCAGGTGGGCTATTCCATGTTTTGATGACCCGTTGACTAACATAATTTACTCTGTGGTGTAATGACTTGCACAGCCCTTGTCTGTAGATCTTTCTTAGAATGCCCTTGTGTTCTAGATTCATTTGACTTTGATGGAGGCTAGTTGAACCTACATGTAGTTTGACTCGACAGTTGGCATTTTTTTTACATTTGTACAAGATCAGGTGAGTAGAGACCTATTTCCCCAACCTTGTTCAAGTTTTTTTAAAAAGCCATTTCTAGAAACCTTGTCACTCTGACTAGGTTGAATTGTCCTGTGAGATAAATTAATAAATTTTTATGAAGGCCTATTGTTTAATATCCATATTCGTTTTAGTTAGGAAGATTTCCGAATGCAGAACTTTTGACCCTACTGCTTGCTACTTTGTTCGATTTTCCATTTGTCTGAACATTACAGGTTGTGTTCCTGCGCAAACATGGCTCCATTTATCGCATCAAAAAAGACTTTTAAATTTTTTACATGTATTTTTGTTCATATCATCTATCTGTACACTTTTAGAGATTTCATAGTACATGTATTAAGAGTGTGGGAAATGGCATTTAATTAGATATGGGAACTCTCAAATCCTGAAAGATACTCCGTTGTACAGGAAACCAATGCCACATTCCTCATGCTTCAACTTTCAAGGGTAACCATGGTGACGGGCCAAGCTCGTACATCTTCCTAAGTCCTACCAAATGTCCCAAACCGAGTGGATATTGAAAGATCTGGTATAGTAGGCTTGGGCATCAAATTTCCTCACACACACAAAAACATAATTCGGTAAAACTTCAACGATAGTTCTCTCTCAGGTGACATCACTAGGAACAGATTTCCGAGTGCATCAATATTTTGGACGTCAAATATTTGTGGCACGCATTGGCTGCCCCACATTTCGAAGATGCTTGGATCAACACTCAAGCGCCTGATGGTGTGGAATAATTTTCCTACGAAGATGTCATCCTGTGAGATGGGTCTGTCCCCCGAAGTGCTTTTTGGTTGAAAAATTGGTTGAGGAGTTTGCATTTTGTCTGCGTCCTCTCCAGGTGTCAGGAATATGGACCGATATTCGTGCTGTTTTTCTTCACACGCGTCCTGGTGGTGGTGTGTAGCCCAGAAGGCGTCAAGGTAGCATCAGTCGTGTTTGGTTCCGTTATCACTTGAACTGCATATTTTGTGTTATTTCTGTGAGTTCGATATTTCAGAAAGCCAAAGTCTTCCGGGAACAAAGCGCGTGCTGCATGCCGCTGTTATCAAATAGCAGCCTCGTACTGGGCATGTGCTGTTTGAATACCGAAGCTGCTCATTTCATGTCATGTTCATTCAACAGCGCATTTAACGCTATGATTAATTTAGAGTGACGTCGAAGAAGATTATAAAGAAACACCCATGGAATTGGGTAGGGGTTGAACCCAATCGCCATGCTGATCCAGACAGGATTCAAACCTTGATGCAGACAAGGATGTGCGAAAAACACCCCCACTCCAACATCAGTGCTCGGCATAGTGAAGTTCTGGCCTTTTCAAAACTCAACAAGAACCACCTCACAAAGACAACAGTAAAACTCTTGTCTTGTTGATCATTAGAAAGAGTGCAGAGTGGCATTATCATACATTAGTAACAACTATGCTTCTCAACATTTTCTAAATTTTATTTTGTCCCAATCTCATCTCTGTAAGCTGTGATTTAAGTGGAATCTCAATCCCATCTTGTTTTCCTGGCTAGGAGTTTGTCATTCAGGCCAAGCACCCAAAAGACCGGATAAGTTACACGAGGTTGAAGATGCTCGTTGGTGAGCGTTTCATGGGGACTGGTTTGGTCAGCGAGAGAGATCATGGCGTATGGTCGATCAGACGAGCTATCATCGATCCAGCATTTCACCGGAGGTGAGTACATGTCCTGGGTTAACACCTCCCAGGCACCCAACCCCCCCTACTCTCAAACCCCTCCCCTGATAATAGTTGGACTAGCAGCAATGTTAACAGTATTAAATCGATGAGGACAAAAAGTGACAACTGCTTCCACCAGTCATGCAATTACAGTGATACTCAGAGCGATGACGATGACTGTCAGTGACAAATGTAACCAGCTTGACATTGATGAAGATGACCGCATATCTGAGAACAGTAGTGATTGGGACAACTATTTTTACAGTTAAAACTGAAGAAATTCGATGCAACAAATCTTTGTGTTGATACAAAGCAATAGATTCTCTGTCTTTGTAAAAGCTCTTATCTTCAATAAAGTGTAAAAATGGATTTATCTTTTGCTTCATTGAGACTTTTCAAATATTCTCGTCAAAAAAAGATGACAAATGCTGTGTTAAGGTCATGCCAAAGAAAAAGGTTTTGAGAGCGCGAGCCTTTTTGCGAGATGACCTTACTTGGCCATTTGTTGGTCACAGATATCTCAAGCAGTCGATGTCGCAGTTCAACCGCAGTTCCGACCTGATGATCAAACGACTTCTCGGCAAAGCTGATGGAGTCGCCGAGGTCACCATGCTGGATGAACTCAACAAGGTCACGCTGGATGTCATTGCCAAGGTAGCCAGGCTCAATTCTGTGGAAACCATTCTACCAAGAATTCTGCAGGTTAACAGACCGTAATTCCTTGGGAATCGACCAAAGAGGTTGGAGGCATGGAAAGAGCCACTACACCAACCTGACTCCCTGTTCCCACTTTGAGTGCCTCAAAAGTCCGAGCAGATATCGTAATAGCACAAACAAGTCAAGAAATGAATAGGCATAATGGGCATACTCCCCACTTCGGCACTCCACATTGAACTGGCCTTGTGCCATCGTTGCCTTGTTTTCCCTCTCAGGTATCCTTCAGCTGTGAGCTGGACATCATGGTGGATGGACTGTCGCCATTCACTGATGCCGTCCGGGTGACTCTGGACGCCCTGGGGTCCTTGAACAGAGCGCCATGGCTCGAGGTAGCATTTGTAAACGAACCGTATCACTCCCGGGCAGTTCAGAGAAAATAAACCTATTTTTCCGTGTGGTTTTTGAGACATCTTCACCTTTTGAAGATAAAGTTTTCTTAAGCTCATCCCTCATTGCACCGGCCCCATCCTCTTTCCCCTCCAAAAAACAAATTGGTTATTGATTTGTACATGTGTGAGAGTTGTCATCACTAGGAATGAAAAGCCTTTTATCATGTTTGTTTCCTTTCCTTTACTGAAAGTTTGATTTTCCTTTTTATAGTCTAAAATGGATATGGGTAATTCCAGAAATTAGGGGTCCATTTTTTTTTTGGTGTCCCTGTCACATCTGACATTTGATTTTGTAAGTTCAGAACACATTTTCTAATTTCCAAGAGTGGTGAATTAATGTAAATTAGCTGCCAAACAAATACCAACAGTTTGAAATCAATTCTGGTGATATTCCAATGTCAGATGGCAAAGGTCAGATGTAACAGGGACACGAAAATGTCACACTTTTGGACCCCTAATTTCGGGAATGACCCATATCCATGTAACCAAATGTACTTGTCAGATTTAACATCAAAATAGACATTGATATTTGTATCAGAACAGATTTATAACTGGCTGGTCTCGGTGCAGTCTTACACGTAGCCGCCTCATTGATAAATATGAAGAAAAAGCAAACCTGAAGATTTCTTGCTTTTAACAAATACACAGTGGTCATCTTTCGGAACAACTTTGAGGAAAATGGTGTTATTGTTTGTGTCTGTTTACAGTACAGCCCCCTGAAAGCTCACCGGGAGAGACGAAAACAGATTCACGATTGCTGCAAGCTCCTGCGAAGCTTCGGCGAGAAGTGCATCCGCGAGCGACTGGCGGCCATCCAGCGGGGTGAGGAGGTGCCAGCAGATACGTTGACGTACATCATCAACGCGACGGGACAGCTGAGTCACAACTACTACAGCATGCAGAACATGGTGGACGACTTTGTGACCTTCTTTGTTGCTGGTACGAAAAGGGATATGCCCGAAATAGTCTTGTCCCCCAAACACTTGTGCTTGATAGTGGATTGTGCAAAGAGCGCCCTCTAACGACTCAGCAAGTGGACCGGCACTCTTGCTCGTACAAACATCTCGATAATTTTGTCTTCATTTTATCCCAAGGCTTTCTTAGGGAACCAGTGAGTGATTAGGAAATTGTTTATTGTCAGATGCGTGGCCGTCATGAACGTACGTGCTAGCAAACAATTCAATTGTGAAGTGTGGTGATCAAGCACGCTTATTACATGCCCAACAGGTTGAAACTCCAGGGCTTGACTACTGATGTATCCAGTGAGAAGCCAGCATTTGTTGGAAGATTTTAATATACCCTAAAATTAAAACTATGATTCACCGGGTAATAGAATAAAACAAAACTTTTTTTTTATTTGACACCTTTTAAAAAGCAATTTTGCTCGGAACCTGACCGAATCCTCCAAAATCTTCCACCAAGCAGGAGTCTAGAGGAACTTTCTTCATGCAACTGTACTTGCATTTGAAGCATTAAGCCTCGTGGGGTGCTAGCTGATAGGGAACATTTTTTAAAGAAAAAAGTGCTAACATGTACATGGGTATGATAGTGTGCCATGCTAGCACCGCGATTGCAGAATTCCCAGATTTGGATAAAACTCAGTGTACTAAGATATACTATTCATTGAAGTAAGCAATAAGTTGCAGTTGAAATGTGAAAGTGCTAAGCACTTTCATCTCTACTGTCAACTCTGAGAAGACAAAATTGCATCTTTTTTCAGGGTTAAAGTGTGAAAAATGGTTCAAAGCAAAACTCAGTCAGCAGTCTGCACTCAGCACCAAAAGCCTCATCCCAAATTTTAGCCTTCAACTCTGTCCCCAACTTGTCTCGTCGTCCCGAGGCAGTTGTGAGCCGAGAGTGGAACAACATTAAGCAGGGGTTCTCAACTTGAGACTAAATTCTCAAAAGTGAAACGTCAAGCCAGCATGAAGACAATATTAGGATTTGCAACACTCAGCAGGTCTCTGTTTGGGAAAAAAAAGTCAAAACGACTTAAGTGCTTAGGAATTCAATTTCTGCATAAATTCCGCAGTGTCTATTGTGAATATGTCATAGGTCAAGAGACCACCGCCAATCTCCTGACGAGCTGTTTCCTGGAGCTCCTTGGCAAACAGCCAGAAGTCCTTTACAGGTGAATACAGATCTAAGGATTTTCCATCCGCTGTCATTTTAATCTTCATCAGAACCGAACTGCTATTCTCTTTGTAGTTTTGCTTCAGGCAGATTTCAAAGCAGGAAATTTGGAACGTCTGAAATGATTCACATTCTTGGAGTGTTCTAAGTAACTCAGCTAAGCCCCGATGCCCCTCACTGATATCTCGGATATGGGCCCAAAAAGTTCAGGGGCGAAATGTGTCAGGATTTTTCCTGATTCAGGGATTTTTTGTTTTCCACAGGATTTTGCTGATTTCAGGATTTTTTCAAACAGTTTCATTTAAAATCTGCAACATCTTGAGTTTACCTTTAAGGTGCATTTTATGTATAAAAGTTGATTATTGGTATTTTAAGAGGCGTCGTCGGACAATATTTAACCTACACCACGGACCCTACCCTGCGCTGGAACCCTGAAAACCTTGAGTAACAGTTTCACGGATATTTCACTTTCCTCCAATCTCATCCCTGAAAGCAACATTTGAAGCTCATATTTGCATCCAAAATGTGCCTGAAACAAATGAAGTCAGACTTGACCGATTTGGAGTCATTGAGAATGGACATGATACTTAAAATTTGTTGACTGGCTCGAGTTTTGAAGACCCGGCATGGTGTCTGTATCTCCACACATGTGTGCATGTATGTGGGAGTACAATTCATGAATGAAAAATGGTCTTCTTTGCACACCATACACCAGAACAGTGCATTGTGGGTAAAACATAAAAAATGCATATCTTGGAGAGAGTAGCTAATTCAGCAGTTTACTTATGATATTTGAATTCAGCACATTAAGATCCGTATTTGAACAGTGAACGGTGCATTTTATTTCCAAAGCAGACAGCTTTTACCAATTTATTTGTACATGTATTTTTGATATTGGTTTTCCTAATTGTAAAGACTTCTATGTGAATGGTCGGGTGCTGTCATTTCAACGAACACGATTCTTTTGAATACTCCAGATTGAAGAATGAGGTGGAGAGTGTGATCGGGGACAAGAACGACGTTGCATTTGAAGACTTGCCCAAGTTGGAATACATGACTGCAGTACGATCTGATTTCCGTCGGCTTTAAATCTCTCTAGGGCCATTTTCCAATACTCAACTTCGTCTCTGTCTCAGGCTTCGTCCCCGAAACCAATCCCCGATTGTGGGCCCGAAGCATTTAAATCAAATTGTAAGTTTAAATCAAACTGTAAGTTTTTGCTCTCTTGCATCTTATTTGATGTTTTGTGGCACTATTAGACTAATTACTGCGCTTACAGCTTCAAAGTCAGCTGGTAAAAAAACAGATCAAGCCTGAGACGGAGCTGAAGTTGAGTATTGGAAAACGGCCTAGATATCCATACTGCTCTGTTTTTCTGACAGGGAAATGTCCAGTGGGCTGATGGCGAGGCCGAGGCTTTGAGCATTGTCATTTGGTTCCAATGCTTAGCGTTAAGAAACTGATTTTAGTACTGAGGGCGATGCCGAAGATGGCGACAGGGCTGAGATTTGAAAACGGGACCCACGTGGCATTTATACAACACCATGCCTTTTGCATTCAGACTGGAAAAACACTATTGCTGTACACTGACATCTATAGAGGGTTTGCATGGCTGCCATCTTGCAGGTCTGTGCTTTTGTTACAATGGGTATGCACAAAGGAGGATTCCCTGTGAAGCAGAAGAAGTGCCCTGCAAGATGGCTGCCACTCAAAGCCTCTATATGCTACCACCTTTGTGATTCACGCTGAGATACTTGAAGATTTCTCTTCAACCTGACGATACTGTGAGCTCCCACAAGTCGTTTTGAAAACCACGCCCAGCCCTGCAAAATAAGCTGTGAAACCACCTTTTTCAGCGGTCAAAACAATTCTTGAGCAAATGAACATAATGGTCACATTTGTAAGGATTTAAAAGTAAGCGATATGTCAAAACATTTGTATGCAAACTAAAAAAGTTGGAGAAGATATCTTTAACACTTGGTTTAATTTTTTATTTCATGGATTAGACCACACAGTGTGCTTTATTGTTCCTGTATTCAAGAATGTCACTGCCTTTACCTTTCAACCTTGCCGGGCATCGTTTTCTGCTTCTTGTAGGTTCTGAAGGAGACCCTGCGTTTGTACCCACCAGCGGGGGGGACCCTTCGCCAGACAGTGGAAGAGGTCTACCTAAACAATGTCCGGATACCGGCAGAAACATCCGTACTGGTACGAGATTTACACCGAGAGTTGTCTCAGAAGTGCCAATTTTGTCCCATGAAATTAGAAAGGAAGTGTTGTCTTGTCCTCCCCTGCCCTACAGAGCACGCCCCAGGACTCATTTGACCTGACGTACATCTGCCAGTAAGGACTCATTTGACCTGACGTACATCTGCCAGTAAGGACTCATTTGACCTGACGTACATCTGCCAGTAAGGACTCATTTGACCTGACGTACATCTGCCAGTAAGGACTCATTTGACCTGACGTACATCTGCCAGTAAGGACTCATTTGACCTGACGTATATCTGCCAGTAAGGACTCATTTGACCTAACGTACATGTACATCTGCCATTGTCACCAGCGAAGTCCGTGGCACCATGAAGAGTAATGTATTTAGGTTTCCATGGTAGGCAATCCTTTAGAACTTTGATAACTGGCAAGAAGTACAAGAAAACGTCAGAGCTAGCATGCACTAGTGTTGTATTTGAATCCATCACAAGTTCTTTCACACATCCCTTCACAAGTCCTGCCGTTGGGGATATGTCACCCTCTTCTGGGATGTTTACCAGATGCTCTGTCTAAAAAAAATTCTGATCCTGTGAGCTGCGGTGAGAAAGAATATGTTTGGGTCGAGTATCTTCTATTAAAAAAATTCCCTATGGCTTGGATCAAAATATTGGTTTTTCACCACAGATTTCCATATATGCCATCAGCCGCTTGGAGGAACATTACACAGATGCCTTGCAGTATGACCCAGACCGCTTCATGCACCAAGATGAACAGTGAGTGTTAGAGTGCCCTCTGTTTGCATCAATCAGACAAGTGGCAGGCAGCCAATCAAAAACAAGTGGTCACCTGCTCATATCACCAGCTTTCACTTTTCTGGCCCCGAAAATGAGAAAAGCATTTCCTAATCCGTCTGTGCAGGGACACGTTTTTTACCAAAATGTGACCTGCTCTTTGAAAATGAGTCACAATTCGCCAGAGCAAATTTAAATGCAGACCTTTGAAAGAATCTTACACATTGTAAATCAATATGAAACCTTCAATGTCTTTCACCCACATTATGTTCACTTTCATAAGAACGCCAAACTCAGTGATACATGTACATCAAAATAAAGAGCTCACTTTGATGAGTTTGCTCTTTCCAAGGCAACTGGAACTCAGACAGTGGCTCTTGCAACTTCTTACTCGTCTGCACAGTGCGAGTCACAAACATGTCAGTAGTTATCAAACTGGAGTTACATGTGGCTGTGACAAGTGTGACTTCCTTTTCAAAGTGTTCAATCTGTTTCTTCCTTTCTACAGCATTCTATTCTCCTTTCTGCCCTTTTCCCTGGGCCCCAGAATGTGCATTGGCAAGAATTTTGCGATGGTAAGATGTTACTTGTTATGAAAATTGCCAAATTCTTCCCCTGAAGATTATACGGAGTTAAGGACAGAGTCTACGGAATGTCGTTGCATCATAGTTGCAACAAGGCAAATACTCGTAGAATTTTCTTTGAAACAGAAGTGCTTGAATTTACTGGTTTTTAGGGCCGAATTTACCCAGGTAAGCACTGATGCAAAGTATTGAAACACAGTGGTGTGCCACACAATACTTGACCTTACCATGCCTCTCATGTATATTCATGATAGAAAGCCGAACTCTCACTGGCCCTTTGTCATTTTGTATGGAATGCCAAATGTACCAAAATATGATATTACTCTGTGAAAGTAGTTTGATCGTGTCCTCAATCTATTATGTGATGATGTCAAACCTTTATGTGAAGTTGTCAATCCATTATGTGAAGTTGTCAAACCATTATGTGAAGTTGTCAAACCATTATGTGAAGTTGTCAATCCATTATGTGAAGTTGTCAATCCATTATGTGAAGTTCTCAATCCATTATGTAAAGTTCTCAATCCATTAAGTGAAGTTGT